TATATATATATAGAGAGAGAGAGAGAGAGAGAGAGAGAGAGAGAGATTATATACCTATATTAGCTTTTTTTTTTTTAAAGTGCTGTCTGCATTCTGTGTTTTATATGTTTTCACTTTCCACATAATATATACTTCTGTTGTACTTTCCTTTTGGCCTCATTGCTGGACTGAGAAACAATGGACCGTTGAAGTTTGGGGGGAAAACTAAATGTTTACTAATGGGTTTACTTTCATTTTTTTTTCCTTCCAAGTGTTTCTGGTAAAATAAGAAAGCGCTATAAAAATAAGGAAATAAAATATCTAGACAGCCTAGCATAGCAATAAATCCTGTTCTCCACACTCTGTGGGCAAGTTTAGGGTGGTGAGAGGATAGGGGGCTCGGACTTGGGGCTTTTAAGAGATTTTATTATGGTTGTTTTAATTTGTGTAACTGACTAATCGTTCCTGTGGTACTAATCTTGTGACGGTGGCCAAATTTGTATAGTGTCTTTCTTAATAGCTCTGGTAAGTACCATCGTCCCTCTAGATAATAGGCTAGAGTTGTAGTTTCTTGTTGGGCTTGCTTTCCAGCCAGGGGAGCAAAAAGGCCAGGAGGCCGCCATGGGCTGAAGACTCTGCCAAGAGCAGGCTGACTCTGGCTTTGGGCTGCCTTCTGGCCTTCAGGGTGGGAGCAAGGACGGGCCCTGAAGTAGGGGGCAGCCCCAAGTCCCCGCCTGGAAAGTTTCTGACCTGCGGCGCTCTCACAAGGCTTTCCGGTCAAGGCCAGGGCCGTTCAGGTGGACCCTGGGAAAGACAGCTAAGCGTACCACTTTCTGTTCCTGGGTGTTTCCTCCAAAGCTTGTTTCCTTCTGCTGGAGACTGACTCCTCTGAGGTCCAGGCTGACCTGCACTCAGGGCTGTCATCCTGCTTTTTTGGAAACTTGAAAAAGGGCAGATTTGGAGCCAGATAGACCTAGATCTAATCCCAGCTCCAGCAGATATGTGAGTGGTTTCAGATAAATCCCAACTCTGAGTTCCTCAGTTTCCTTGTCTTTAAAATGGGTGGTGGTCATTCTTCCAAAAGGAGGATGCCTTGCACTGCAGCCGGAGCAAGGGCTTTGGGCTGGAGGTCATTCTGCTGCTTCCTGCCTGCGCCTTTGGGCCAGTGAATAGGAAGGCGGGCGGCGGCGGCACAGCAGCTGCTCAGCTGGCACCTGCTGTCATTTTTACATTTGCTTCTCAGAGTTGTGAGGATTAAGTGAGAAAAAGCTGAGTATAAAATAAATCTGAAGCTCCCGTGTACTTGCCTTGATCACTGCTTGTGCCAGGAATTCTTGCAGCCCTTCTTCACCTGTGACAAGGGCGGGAAGAAGGCAGCAAAGAGGAAAGTGTGCCGGCTGGAGCAGTCCAGCAGGACGCCCAGCCGGGGGCCCCACAGATCGGGCCTGTGGCTCGCGAGAGGAGGGAGGAGGGGGGTGTCGTCAGAAGGGGCTGCTGCCCTCCTTCCCCCCCTCCTCCCCTTCCCCGTCTCCTCCTCCTCCTCCCCCCCTCCTCTCCTTCCCACCTGTGCGCTGCCACCTACCTGCCTCTGGGCTGCTGTGGAAGCCCCTGAGGTTTATTTTTATGATTCCTTTTTGTTTTCTCTAGTCCGTCCTTCCGGAAATCACGGATGTCCCGAGCCCAGAGTTTCCCAGACAATAGACAGGAGTACTCCGGTGAGCTCCTGAGCCAGTGGATACCGCTGCCCTGAGGGTGGGGCCCGGATGGCTCTGAGTTGGGAGTTCTCCTGGGCTGCTCCGTAGGCGCCCTGGTAGCCTGGGGTGTAAGTGGCTAACTCGCAGATCTGTCCGGCAGCCAGTGATTGCTCTGTCTCACTCAGATCGAGAAACCCAGCTCCATGACAAAGGGGTAAAAGGAGGAACCTATCCCCGGCGCTACCACGTGTCTGTGCATCACAAGGACTACAATGACGGTGAGTGCGTCTCCGTGCTGCCCCCTGCTGGTCACCTTGGGAGAGGCAGTGCTTACTGCTCGGTGGAAAACTACTTGGAGGGAGGTGGGGGGAGCTCCAGGCTCCACATTTCCCTTTATTCCGGAGGAATGATGCCCCAGACTTGAGGCAGGAGAGACAGAAAACTAGACAGATGGGGAGGTGGAATGTGTGGGCCGAGGCACTACCACTGTCTTTTCTGTCTGTGGTGCTTCTGGGTTACCACCCTACAAGGCCCTCTGCAGCAGCTGCAGGAAAGACTGCAGCTTTGACTTGATTTGGGGTGGGTCTGAGGGACAGCAGCCCCACTCCCCTGAGTCGGGGGAGGGTAGGTGGGGAGGCCAGAGCTGGTGTGTGTGTCACTTCCACCTGGTGTGTACGTTTAGTCTCAGGACTTGCTCTCCTTGGACTCGCACCCTTCCAGGCAGAAGAACGTTTCCCCGAATACGACGTCATCAAGGCAACTTGTTCACTCTGGTTCCCTCCAGTCGCTCCCTAAGCACAAACGGCGAGAACATGGGTCTGGCTGTACAGTACCTGGACCCCCGAGGACGCCTGCGGAGTGCAGACAGCGAGAACACACTTTCTGTCCAGGAGAGGAGTGTGCCAACCAAGTGTGAGGAGTACCTGTGGCCAGGAAGAGATTGCTGAGGGGCAGGAGAGCAGCCAGGCCTCCGGGTGCTCAGGCTCCACAGGCTGCTCCTCTAGCCCAGCCCTCCACCCCAAGAGAGCCTCCCAGCAGGGAGCACATCCTGGGCCTTGGGCCTGACTCCTGCTGTAGACATCTATTTGGTCTGTGGCTTTTCCATGTTCAAACTGAAAAGCATATTCCTGCTGCATTCTTTTGGAAGTAAAAGTAATTGATGAATGCATAAGAGCACTTAACCATGACTGTCATCCACTTCCCAGGATTCTGGCCTTATGCTCCCATTGACCAGGGCACTGGGCCTGCTCCGGGTGGGGTAGAGATGCTACACTGAGAGAACTGATGGTGCTCGTGTGGGTGGGCCACGCCTGAGGCCCTGAGGTCTGGCATCTGGGGAACGAGGAGGCTTTCTAGGGAACCCGTGTGTGCATCCTAACGTACCTTCTGCCCTTCTCCTACAGCTCCCAGTGCCCCCATCAACTGGCGCCGGGGGAAGCTCCTGGGCCAGGGCGCCTTCGGCAGGGTCTATTTGTGCTATGACGTGGACACAGGACGTGAGCTTGCTTCCAAGCAGGTCCAGTTTGACCCGGACAGCCCTGAGACAAGCAAGGTACCTCCTCCTCCCTGCTTTGACCTCCAGTTCTCCCCTTTCAGTGACAGTGTCAGTCTGACTCGCAGGTGAAGTGATTGCTCCCGTGCTGCAGCTTGCCTTCCCTCACTCTTCCCCCACGCTCCCTTGCTGTCCCATCTGGCCATGAAGCACCTGGGGGGAACTAAGTTCTCACCAAAGGCCCAAGCGACCCAGGCTAGGCGGCGATACCCAGTGTGCTCCTCGCCTCAGCTCTCCCCAGCTGTCAGCCCAAGAACCACAAAGCAAGATACATTGCCTGCATCACACCTTGAGTAGCTTATCTTTGGTAGTGAGCTTACCTGAGCTCCCACAAGCCTTCCTCCCTCCTCTGTGGCTGCCTCTGTCCAGGCCTGGGAATGCCATGCCTCAGGCTGGCCCAGCATTGTGGCCAAGGAGCAGACCATTGAGAGGGCCCCTTTTCTCCAGCTGAAGCGAGGTATAGATTAGGGCAGGCGCAGCTGGCCCCGGGCCGAGTGCCCAGGTGACCCTGGCCGTCTGTAGGAGGTGAGCGCCCTGGAGTGTGAGATCCAGTTGCTGAAGAACCTGCAGCATGAGCGGATAGTGCAGTACTACGGCTGCCTGAGGGACCGTGCTGAGAAGACACTGACCATCTTCATGGAGTATATGCCTGGGGTATGTGCTCCCTGAACGCACGTGAGCCTCCCTCACGAGAGGGCCTGGCCTGGGACTGAGGCTGGGAGAAAGTCACCCTGGAGCTGGGTCTGACCCAGGGTGCGACTCCAGAGTTCAGAGGAGCCGGGTGAGGCGACGGCAGGATTCGGAGTCAGGAGGGGCTTGTGGCTGCAGGGAGGGTGCAAGCTGAGAGCTATCCCAGACTTGCTGCGGATGGCTGTGCCATATCCCAGAGGTACAGCGCTCGCCCGGAACAGAGGCCCTTTCTCCTAGACCTGTGCCCTAAATTGCTTGAAGGAAAGATCGTTTCATGCTTTTTTCCAAGCTGTCCAGCAGCTCCTAGCAGTGTCTTCCTCATCACAAATGGGACTTGGTCGAATCTCTGCTTTCCTGCAGTCCTGGGGTCTGGAAATAGCCTTGCTCCCTGCTATAGCCACCCCTTGAGAAGGACCCCTCTGACTCCTTGTGGCCGGTAGGGCTCAGTGAAAGACCAGCTGAAAGCCTACGGAGCTCTGACGGAGAGTGTGACCCGCAAGTACACCCGGCAGATCCTGGAGGGCATGTCTTACCTGCACAGCAACATGATTGTGCACCGGGACATCAAGGGTGAGCAGGGGCAGCTGTGTGAGGTCCCCAGCTTTGGGTTCAAGGACCTATGTAGTTACCAGGTGGGCCAGTCAGCCATTCGGAGCTTTCTGAAAAGGACTCCAGGTTCTTCCCCGTTTGGGGGTTGGGTAAGATCAGTTGAGCAGTTTGGGAAAATACCTTCTAATGCTATACAGACACTAGCCAGGGAGACGGTCGCTGTGGACTGCATGTGTGGGCTCCCTTCTCAGGACTATGTCGTGTGCAGCTCCTCTCCTCCCAGCAGCTCTCCCTGGAGGAGGATGGTGGAAAGTGGAAGTGTCTTAGGCGGCTGTCTCTGCCCTTTTGTGCCTCAGGAGCCAACATCCTCCGAGACTCTGCTGGGAACGTGAAGCTGGGAGACTTCGGAGCCAGTAAACGCCTGCAGACCATCTGCATGTCGGGCACAGGCATGCGCTCGGTCACTGGCACGCCCTACTGGATGAGCCCTGAGGTGATCAGCGGCGAGGGCTATGGAAGAAAGGCAGATGTATGGTGAGCACCAGGATGGGCCGGACCCCCTCTGCTTGCCATGGGGACAGTGGCTACAAACCGGAAATCCCCTGGGGACAGTAGGGGAGTAGGGCCCTTGCTGGCCCGAGCACGAGAACCTCCCTCACAGTAGGAAGTAGCAGTAGCACAAGTGACAATTGCATGCGTTTGACTTCAGAGAACAAACTGCTAGTGCTGGGACTTAGATCATGAAAAATAACCTCCTGTTTCCTGAATCCCTTCAGGAAAACAGCTTGGCATGGTGGTGCATGCCTGTAATCCAAGAACCCAGGAGGCTGAGGCAGGAGGATTGCCGGGAGTTCAAGGTCAGGCAGAGCTACATAGTGTGACTGTGTCTCAAAAAGGATGCACTCCGAAGGCTTAGCTCTGTCTCTAAACACGAGCAGCTTCTCGAAGCACTCAGCAGCTTGCATTTGTCCCACCTAATTTACGCCCCTCCTCAGCAAGGTCTTAGAAGTTTCAAGGACTGCTCGCCTTGGCCAGTTCTCATGGTGTGCTGATTAATGGTTCCCCAGAGATGTTCGTGGAACCTGGGAGCGGAACTGTTGCCTTGCGCTGTGGCTGAGGACGTGGAGGGGGCCTGGTGGGTAGCCCAAGGCCATAAAGGGCAGGGAGGAGGCTGTGTTAGCTCAGCAGTAGAGCACTTGTTAGCGTGTGAAAAGCTCTGGGTGCAGTCTCCAGTACCCCCCAAAAAGCCATGGCGGATGAGATCAGGTGTGACAGTGAGAGCACAGGGCTGGGACAAGGCAAGGAGAGTGCCGGCCCATGAGCCAAGAAATGCAGGCAGGCGGGCCGGGGTCTCGGTGGTAGAGCGTGCTCACACGGGAGAGGGCCTGGTTCACTCCTCAGCGTGAGCACAGGGAAAGGGAAGGGAGGCTCCAGGAGGACTCGTGCTCGCGGACACCTAACCTTAGCCCAGGGAGACTGATTTTAGACTGCTGACCTCCAGAACTGTCGTAGTCACGCCACTAAGTTTGTGGAAATGAGCAGTAGGAAATGCCTGCAGTGGACCCTTGAGTTATGACTGGCCTGACCTATGAACAGTTTGGGTTATGACCAGAATTTTGGTTTTAACTTACAACCAAAGGCTTGGCTTGTGACTCGGTTGCTGGCTGCCTGTATTTCTAGGTGGTCTCAGATGCAGACTTAACCCTTAAAGAGTTCTGGAAGGAACATTCCAACAGCCTTTCCTGTACTCACACAACTGAGAGATCCCGGGCCAGTGTCTCTAAGCACTCGGAGGTCGGCCTGTGTGTGGAGAGGGAGCTCAGGCTGCGTAGAGCCTCAGCCTGAGCCTTCAGCGGACAACCTGAGCCACGGCCAGGCCTCAGGGACGAGCTGAGTTCGTAAGTCGAGGGTCCACTGCACCACTGTCTTGGAGGCCCCCAGACGCACACGCACACGCACACGCACCATGCTGGGAGTGGAACCCAGGCCTCACGATTCAGGTCGCTCTGCTACTGAGCCGTGCTCTTGGAGCCCCCGTTTCCCCGGTGTCAAGAAGTCCCGAGGTCCTAGGCATGGTGGTGGCCGCCTGTATCTAGCTTTCAGGAATCCTGAAGCAGGAGGACCTGAAGTTTGAGTCCAGCCTGGGCACTTAGTGACTTAGTGAGACCCTGCTTCGAATGTTCAAGCAGGACTGGACATGCAGCTCAGCAGCACAGCTGCCCGTTGAGTGGTGGGTACGGGACAAGGCCCCGGGTGCTTTGAAGCCTCTTCTGTCCTCAGAGTCCAGAGACGCCAGCTGTCGGCTTGTCCATCTTGTGCCTCAGCGTGGTCTGAAGAGGGCCACTGTCTTTACTGTGGTGCACAGCCGGGGCCTGGAGCTGTCTGGGGGCTGATGTGGGCATCTCTCTCCAGGAGCCTGGGCTGCACTGTGGTGGAGATGCTGACAGAGAAACCACCATGGGCGGAGTATGAAGCAATGGCTGCCATTTTCAAGATCGCCACCCAGCCCACCAACCCTCAGCTGCCTTCCCACATCTCTGAGCACGGCCGGGACTTCCTGAGACGCATTTTTGTGGAGGCGCATCAGAGGCCTTCGGCCGAGGAGCTGCTCACACACCACTTTGCACAGCTCGTGTACTGAGCTCCCAAGGCGTGCTGCTGCGGCCTGCCCTGCTGCATGGGCGAGGGCTGCCGTGGACACGGCGGCGTCGCTGCTTCCCCGGCAGAGCTGCGGACTGCGGAGCTACGTCCAGCCTGCACTCGTCTGTGCCTCTTCTGCCGTGGAGCTCAGAGCCACGTGGAATAGTGCCGCCTCGAGGACTGGAAGGCCCCAGCCTGCCGCCCCTGAGAGCTCCAGCACCCCAAGTGCAGTGTGGAGGGAAGGGCTGGGAACAGTGTGTGAGGCCGCGGCACTGCAGCCCATGCTGAAGCGGGGCTCGGGCTCAGGACGGGCGCAGGGGGTTGAATAGTGTTACTCTGACTCAGTGTTCTTGTCTTTCCTCACCGGGTGTGGGCTGGCAGGGCCCACGCAGGTCCCCCCAGGCAGTGGGAGGCAGAGGCCTGGGCCGCCCTCTCCCATAGGGCCCCAGGCCAGCCTGTTAGTCGTCCTTTACCAAAGATAAAGCAAATTATATGCTGCCTTATTCAGGGAAGGAGGAGCCCATCCTGCCTGTCCCTGCGACCCTGCACCCTCAAGCAGGGGCCTGAGGTGTGGCGCTGCCCCGAGTGGGGAGACCCAGTTTTGTCAATGCAATTGTCTGTTTTACAAGTTGGAGTCTCTCTTATGCTGTACCTGGTCTCTAACCTGAAGACCTGTGTGTCCCCTGGCTTGGAGCACCAAGGTGTGGGCCGAGGCCTTGGGCTTCACTGGAAAGAGTGGCTGGGTGGCCTTTGTGCCCCTGGCCTAGCACTCGCTCCCCTCTGGAGCAGAAAACCTGGATAACTTAGGGTGTCTGGGCAGCTGGCTACCCTGACCGGCCAGGCTGAGCAGGGGAGCCCCGCAGTTCTCGGGCTGTGAGGCATGCCCTGCCAGCCAGCGCCCCTCCGCCTAGTACACAGAAAGCCCATGTGCTGCCACCAGCTGTGTCCGGAGCCACCAGCTCTGCCTGCAGAGCCCACCTTACCACCCAGTGAGCTGTGGGTCTCTTCCTCCTGTGCTCCGGGGCGGGAGGAGTGGCAGTGTGGCCGGGGAGCGGTCTCCGGGCAGCTTAGAGTGGGCCATGTTTACCTCAGCCTGGATGCTGCTCCTCCCACCGCCTTCCGAAATGTGCCTACTGCTAGAGCGCCTCCCTGCGGCCCCCAGGTCCTGGGGGTGGCCATCCGCGGGGGTGGGGGCAGGTCCAGGATGGCAGCTCCCGGGAGCTGGGGAGCAGGCCGGCCACTCGTTGCCAGCCACGCCCACTGCCCCGTGGGCGCAGAACAAGCCAAAGCCTTCGTTGTATGTTGACGATGCACTTTTATGAATGTAGTTTCTATCGCTGTTTTTAGCCTTTTCACATCATGTAATGTGAGGCCTTGTATTTGTTAATTTATATCTCAGATCATATTTGATGGTTTTTATATATATCAATTGTAGACTGTTACAGGTGATGGACGCCTCAAGAGAGAAGAGAAAAATGAAAGCAGCTGGTTTTGCAGAAATGTGTGCTGTATGGTGCCACTTGGGCCTGGGCTTCTGTGTGCCATCCTTTTTGCCAGGGGACCCCGTCAGGCCCCCTTCCACCGGCAGCTGCCCGGATGCCAGTGAACACATGCTCCTGCCTCCCTTGTGGCCCCTGCCAGGGTGGGGCGCAGCCCATCATCTCCACCGGAGCTGCCGAGCAGTGGCTCAGCCTCTGATCCCCCAGTGACTACACCCTCCTTGGCCCACACTCCGGCCCTAGTGCCCCCCACCCCCACCCCAAGGGAAACCATGTGGTGTTGCTGACAAGATGACTCTGTCCCAGGTTCAGGCTGGCACAGAGCCCCTCCTCCAGGGTCTTCACAGGGAATGTTTTAAAAATGAATTTAAAACAAGCCAACAGGGGCTGGTGAGATGGCTCAGTGGTCTAAAGCACCTACTTAGAACAAGCTTAGCAAAGCACAGGGACCGCGGTTCAATCCCCCAGCACCACATGCCAGCCAGCCCCGCCCCCTGGTGGGCTGAGCCCCCCCCCACATAAATTTAAAAAAAAAAAACAAAAAAAACCCAACAAATCCTGAATTCCAAAAAAGCCAAAAATGACCCTGATTTTTGTGCCAAAAACTGTGGACATGCTGGCTCAGCATCCTCAGGACCAAGCTATTGCTTAATTTTAATTTATTATTTTTTTGATTTTTTTTTTTTTTACTAATCCAGATGAAGTTACGGGGCTCTAGGATGGCCTGGGCCCAAAGGTTCTTAAAAGGCAGTTTGCCAGCAGCCCTGGGCCTGGTGTGGAAAGGGGCTAGGCCACAGTCTCCTCCTCATTCCACGGGGTAGGGCCGCCTGGGCACCCCCCCACGGGCCAGTGCACACCTTGCCACCCTGCCGCCCCTCCAGCGCTGTCTGAATTGTGGATCCTGCAGAACCTGCAGCCATAGTTATTTGACTGTACCTTGACTGAGGGCTTGCAGTGCAAAGCCAGGCCAGTGTCATGCATTACTTTCAATAAAAGGGATCATTTATACTAGAGTATCCTGTGGCATGCTTTGGTTGGGGGTTACAAGAATTGAGGAGGGGGTGGGTATTGTGCCTAGCAACGAGCCTGGGCCCCTCAAGTAGAGCGCTTAAAATGACTCCAAAAGAAGGGGCCCCCCACTCCCTGCCTGAGGTAGCACTGTTGGCACCCTGACCGGGACTCACCAGGGACTGGGTTCTTGACATGCGTGGCCCCTAGCAGGCCTTTCCGCCCATCCTCGCAGGTCGGGGGCCACCCCTGCAGCGAGTCTTAGCCCCCTCGGGGAGAGCCCGACCCAGGAAGCGGGGTGCTCTGAGGCTGTCCTCCAAAGCCAGGCCTCAAGCGCCTTCTCCGCTCCAGAGCATGCCCGCTCCCGGTCCCTCTCCAGGGCGTGAGGCCGTCTGGGTAGGAGCCACCGAGGATCTCGCGGAGCTGGGTGCTGCAGCCAACCCTCCGGGGGTCTGTTCCGCGGGAACACCAGGGGAGCGGCTCTGGGCAGGGCACACCCGACCTGTCTTACGTGGGTGTCTTCCGAGCTTGCCCTGCTTGCTGAAGAAGCCCGCCGAGCACCGCCTGGGCTCTCGGGAGCCAGCGGCAGCTTCTCCGCAGGCAGCTTGCCGCCGCAGCTTAAAAAGCACGTAAGGGTGCAGCGACGGGGAGAGAAGGCACCCCGGCCTCCCGCGACCCTGCCGCCGGGGCACTGGGGGAGCGGGTCGGGTTAGCGGTGCAGGCGGGAACTCTCCACGGCAGCGCACCCCTTACGGCGGCGGGCACTGCTGATAGGCCCGGAGTGCTCCGGGCTGGCCCTTTCCTCCTCTGTATTCTCGCCAAAGCCCTCCTCAGACCACAGAAAAGAGTCAGGATCTATTTAAACGTGTTTAAAACGAGAGGATCACAACAGAAGGCAGGAGCAAGGGCAGGGAAGCGCGGAGGCTGCCCGCCAGCACGTCTCAGGCTTCAGGCTGGCGGGAGCTTTTAGCTTCCGGCCAGGAGGGTCCCAAACCCGAGGGCAGGTCCTGCCTGGCCTGCCACGTCCCCCCGAGGTGGCAGCGGAGCGGCAGCCGTGAGGCCCAGCAGGTGGCGCCCTCACTCTCCTCCGGGTCCCGGCAGCTCAGGACCAGGTTACCGCGGGCAGAGGTAGATGGGGAGACCGGGGGGGGCAGGGAGGGCGCGGACCCCGAGGGGGCACGCTGACTCCTTGCTGGAGAAAAGGCACCTAGTTAGGAAAGTGGGCTTGGGGCCCGCAGGCGGCTGCGGGGCGACGGCGGGCAGGCTGAGAGCGGCGCGGTCCCCTGCGAGAAGGAAGGAGCCCCGCACCTGGCACCTCGGCCCGAGGAGCGTCGCCCTGCCACCCTGCCACCCGGCCCGGCCTGAAACCACCCTCTGCCGCCCTCCCAAAGGCCCAGTTCAGGCCCTCCGCAGAGCGCGCGCGGAGGACGGCGGGCCTCAGGCTGTCTTGGCGCCAGGGTCCACCTCCTTGTGGGTCCAGAGCTCCTTGTGCTGCTTGCGGCCGAAGCCCTCATCGTAGTTGCCTTTGCTCTTGAACAGCTGCTGGAAGTGGGGCTTGCAGTAAAACTCGCCATGGAGAGCCGCGTAGCTGCCCAGGCTGCGGAAGCAGAAGAACCGGGTCAGGCGGGGTCAGGCGGGGTCAGGCCAGAGTCGGGGCGCGCGGGCGCGCGGGGTCACACCTCAGCTTGGCATGGCAGTGCTTGCAGCAGAAGCAGGAGCTGTGGAAGATGAGCTTGTCGGCCACCAGCCGCTCCATGGGGTACACTGTCTTCTGGCAGGCGGCGCAGGTCTCCTTCACCTGGGCCCGAAGGCTGAAGGACTGCAGAGGGGACACTCAGCAGGGGCCGGCCAGCACCGGCCCGCCCCCACGGCCACCCCAGGAAGGACCCTACCTTGGAGCGCTGCACAGTGCTGCCGCCGCCACCGCCCGTGCTTTCCTGGGGGAGAGGGGCCGTGAGCGCCCGGACAGCTAGCTCGGGGCGGCAGGCCAGCCCCAGGCCCCGCTCTCCAGGCGCCCGCGCCGCTCGTGCCGTCACCCTTCCCACCCCGACGGTCACCTACATGCGAGGGGGTGGTCTGGGCGGCTCCTGCAGCCTGGAACATGGCTCTTCGGAAGTGAGGGAGGCCCCGGGCAGAGCTCGGCACCCGCGGGGTTCTGCAAGGGGAAGTCGCTCGGTGGGGCCCCAGGAGCCCTCCCCCGCCGCAGGGTGGGGTGCTCACGACCAGGGGCTGGGGGCTGCGGTCGGGACTTTCCCTAAGTCATTTCCTGTTGCTCTCGGTTTTGCCACTTCCGCCCCTCACCCACCCCTGCCACAGGCGCCCCCACGGGCAGGGTCCCCGCATCCGCACCGTGCGCAAAGTTAGCTGCTTAAGGCGGAGGCCAGGCTCTGCGCAGCCGCTCTGCGCGCCGTGCGGGGACCCTCTGGGGCGTCGGGGTCGCCAGAGGGCGCGGCCGGGAGCGAACCCGTGGCCCCGCTCGGCCGGCGCCGCGC